AGACACGGGTTTACCCAACCCACAGGAGTTCACCACCCTCAACACAGCCAAGCCTCCATTCGTCCGCGATGTCGAAACAAAGATTCGACGGTACCTGAGGTCCTCCTACTCTGCAGCCTGGACCCTGAAGATCACCTGGGAGAAGGCACCTGCCTACACAGCACAGACTGACACCCGGAGGGTAAGGGACTGATGGAGCTCAAGGGCTTGTTGAGTTGCCAAAAAAACCCAAGACCCCTGGGAGATCACTTCTGTGCCTGAGAAAAGAACAAGTTTTGTGTAAAAGATCAGTCTTGAAGATTTTGCCAAAAAGAATTGAGCTGTGTCCATGTGTTCATGGTTTTTTTAGTTTTTCAGGGGGGACATTCTGCTTCGTAAAATCTTTAATGAGATGGGAGTTTATTGTGCACCAGGCTTCTCATGGAACAGCACTGAAGTAAAACCATCACATTTTCTATGCAAAATGTGAACCAGCCCAGGCTGTGTTTGCCTTGCACCTCTGCCCTGCCATCCCCTAGTGAGCACTGACCCACACCTCTAATTTTAAACCCAGCAGCTTTGCTCGCTTTCTTACCTGTCTGCAACACTTTTCCCTAGACGATCACATACCAGGCCATCCTGACCACCGATGGCTTCAGGTCCTATGTCCTGATGCTCTACCAGGATGGAGGCATGCGGTGGGATTACAACAGGCTCACTGCCACCAACGTGCTCATCGGCTACACCAGGTACAACAGGCTCAGCACCCAGCCCCTTTGTCCTCCAAGCTCCATCTGGTTTAACCCGTCTCCCTCCATGTCCCATAAAGTGCCGTGCAAGAATGAGGACAGCCCGGATGGGGTCTGCATGCCTGTGTAGCCTGACCTATTGGGGGGTCTCACAACCAGATTTGTCCTTTTAGTGGCTGGATCATGCTGCAGCATGTTGACTTGCTAGGCTGTGCTTATTTTAGGATCCACACATCCCTCTGGGGTCCAGAGCTTGCAGAATCCTGGTGGTTTGAGTGGAAGGAATAGGGAATAGGGGATGTTTGCTGAACTTTGTGCCGGCTGAGGGAAGGGATTTCCGTCGCTTGGCCAGAGCGGTTGCTTCCTGCCTCCTTGCATTCCATCTCGCCTGTGCACATTGTCTCTGGGGTTTGCTTGTTAGCTGCTTGCTGCAGCTGGGTAAGGAAAAGGTGGCCGGGACAGGAAGCACGGGCGGCACAGACGTACGTGTGTGCTTGCTTGTGCACAACCGCATGTGAGTTTCCGCTCTGTATTGCCCTGCAAGAGGCTGGAAACCACAGAAGCTGATCGTTGGGGTCTTGACATGTCCGCGGGTTCAGCCCAATATGCAGCAGGAGCATTTGCAGCACCAAATAACTAACCGCACCCTGATTTTTCCCCTTTCCTTTGCACACAGTGGGGATGGCTTTTACCGCAACGATGACCTGACTCAGAGACCTCCAGCTGCTAAATATCGCCCTGACCAGTTCAGAGGCTACAACACAGGTAGTGCCGCACAGCCAGGGAGGGCTCAAGCAGCCCCTCAGGGGGTCAGAGAAGGGCTGCGTGGGGAAGGGGACATTCCTAGGGAATGAAATCCAGCCTGCTTCTGTGGCAAGGCTCTCACTAAATGTACCAAGTCCAGGCTTTCCCCCCCCTCCCTGAGCACATAAAATGCCTCCCCTGAGTACCAGGCATGCCCTGAGGCTGAAATGTCCTTGATGAGTCCATGAACATTTTTTGTTGCAATGGCTCTGTCCCAAGGCTTTCTTCCCTGGCAAGAGCCTCTACCCCTGTTTCCCTGCCCCTAGGTGGCTGGTAAGCATGGGGTCTCATGGCTGGGGTCAATGTGAGTTTAGCTTCCAGGACCAGCATCACTTGACTCTCTCCTCAAACCAAAACTACCCCTGCAGTCCCGTTGGCTGGAGGTGACAGCTTGTGGTTTCTCTCCCTGCTCAGACCTCCGTGGGCTGTGGATTTACAAGCTGGAGAGCCGTGTAGGTGTCAACTACCGGCTGAAGTGCCTGGCATGGATTGGGCGGCAGCAGGAGGCACAGACATGGAGTCACGGCTTGCCCACCTGCCCCTGCTCCCTGCAGCAAGGGCAGCAGGACCCGCGCTTCAAGAGCAGCCGTGGAGGCAAGTGGACATGTCACTTCCCCACCCTCCTCATCCCCGAGCTGTCCCTCCCCACCTACCCTGCAAGAGTGGCTGGGATCCCTTCTGGATGGGCCAGCAGGTGGCCCCAAGCAAGATGATGGGAGTCTGCCCTTCCCTGCAGAGACAGGGAAAAAAAGGATGAGCAAAGGCTGACCTGTCCCTGGCTGGACCTGGCCTAAGCTGCATGTGACAGCGGGAATGGACCATCCCCAGCACTTGAGTCTCACCCTGGGGAACCACTTGAGTGGTCTCCATCAGTCCCTCCAAACCATAGGTGATGCGGTGGGATTGATGGCTAAAACTGAGCCAGCCGTGCTCCTTGCCCTGAGGTAGGGACGCCAGCCAGAGAGGACTGTGCCAAAGCTTACTGTGACCCTGTTACTCTGTCGCAGGCTGGTGGGCTGCCCGTGTCTCCATGCTGCATTCGGCCTCCCCCAACCAGCACGGTGCCGGCGTCCGCTGCTTGTACAACAGCCAGAGCCAGCTCATCGAGGGTCGGCAGGAGAGGTACTGGAGGTCCTCCAGGCAGGCGTCCCCTTATCGTGGTAAGCACAGCAAGCCCTGTCATCCCCCAAGCCGAGACTGGCGTCACTGTAGCCTGTAAATCATTTTAATCTCTGTGCCAACCTGTTTCCTGACATACTGTTGCCCTCAGAGGGAGCATGGACCTGCCAAAAAGCCGAGGCTGCCAGCCCTGGAGCCAGCCTGTCTCCTTCTCCTCTTCCCTTCAGCCCCTTTTTGTCCTTTTTGCCTCCAGACCAGGAGCTGAAGTTGTACGACTGGTGCTGTAACCAGGCAGGCAGCGCCCGTCTCTGCAACCACTACAGCGAGAAGAGACCGAAGATTGGCTGTGATGGGTACCAGTCACCCAGCATGGGTGGGTTTGCAGCTTGTATGTGCCAGGGTGATGTCGTCTTGGTGCCCAGGGCAGGGGGGAGAGGAGGAAGAGTCCCAGCCACCTCGTGGTTAAGGAAACAAGATCCCCAAGAGGATGAAGCATGGATTTTGGGGTGCCTGCCTGCAGGTTGTGCAGTGCCCTGGGCTGCACGGGCTTGCGGGGAACATCTCACTCAGCACTGACCCACCAGTGTAGCCTGGTGGTGACAGCAGCAGGAGGGGTGGGGGACTGATGTGGTTATCAGTGTAAGCTGATGTGGGGCTCTCTTGTAACCCCCAGCAGGTTCCTCGGAGGAGACAGAGAGTGACTCGGAGGAGCAGAGAGGTGAGCAGCATCAAGGGTCTCCTCTCGACCAGCCACTTCCCTCTGTCCCTGTCCCCCGCTCCTGGACACTCCCCCAGTGCTCTCAGCTTTCCCTAAGCCCCCAAAGAGGAGGTGGCTGGGTAATTCTTGTTTCTTCTTCTTTGCAGATGGAGAAGATGAGTAACTGAGGAGGTTGCACACCCACAGCATGGTCTGGGCCATGGCTGATCCTCTGAGTCCTTTGCTCCTGCTCATCCTTTGTGTCCTCCTGCTCCCCCCAGCACCCACCACCCCTGCTCACCACGCAGGGAAGCTTGCTTGGCCATCGTCTATAGTTGCCTTCACTGACTGGCAGAAGTTTGTGTTTCTAATCCAGGCTTGTCCCAAAAAGTCAGTTGCTTTAGTCATCCCATCCCGGCTGCAGCTGATGGGGTGCCCATGGGTGGGACCTACCCACCATATCCACCTTCCCCGTACTCCCTGCATTCCACTGTGCCTCCCAGTCTGCAGGGTGAGGTTGGCCCCCCAGCACCTGACGAATGGGTTTTTGCACCTTGTGTGAGTTGACTGTGGCCAAGGCCCCAACTACTGTGGTGTGCCAGGCTTGCCCTGTGAGCCAGTCCTGTCTTCTCCCCCACTTTTGTCTCCCAGCCATCCCTCCCCGTGTGGTCCCCAGGCCCTGTGCCCGGGAGAAGGGGCAATTCTCCCCAAACCAGGCAAGAGTCTGCTTGATAATTCTGCTGGGTGTGCGAGGGCAAAATTCAACCCCATCAAAAACATTGTGAGAAAAATAATTCTTTTGTTCTTTTTGTGCGTAGGAGAGCATCTACCTTTCTCAAAAAAAATAAAATCTTGTCAAATCTTGTTTGTTCGATAAAGTCTCCGACAGGTCTGAGCATCACTGTGACAGCCACATCTCCTGGTGAAAGCGGGGGAAAAAAAAAAAGGGGGGCAGGTTGAGGCCAGTGGCACTGCAGGATGCTGCTGCCCTCCAAGTTGGTGCTGGTGATGTGAGTGGCTGAGCTGGGCTCTGGGACAGCAGGGCTGGAGCTGGGGTCCTCTGGGACCTGCTACACGCTTCCTGAGGCACAGCATCTTCACCCTCAGCAGGGGTGAAGGGCTGTGGTGTGTTTGTGGGGACCACAGCCTGATCTGCGTGGACTGAGCCACTGTGAGTGGTGCTTGGGGAGAGCGGTGAGAGAGACTTATGAGTCTGCAGGGGAAAGAGGGGGTGGAGCAACAAAAAAAGCTTTCATCTTCTCTTTGGCCCTGTGAATGGGACCAGACGAAAGCAGAGACTCAGAGCTTGAGACAGGCAAGCAGCACTGACACATGGGCACCATGTGGTGCAGGAAACTTACTCAGCAGCATGCCATGATTTTTGGTTTATTCTATTTTATTCCTAATCGATTATAATCTCTGCACTACCCCACCCGCGTCTGCTGTCAGCGGCTCTGCCAGGTCCAGCTACATCGCACTAAGATGTACCGCAGTGCAGACACACTCAAGCACTACCCTGGTTGCCTCTGCAGGTCCTCGGGGGAGGGTGAAATCCTCTCACTATGGCGAACATAAAACCATATCTGTCATTCAAAAAACTCCCCCTTCCTCCAGAAGGAATCCTCCCACAAAGACCAGACATTGAGAGGCAGCTACTCATCCCCTGCCTCTCTGTGGGTGCTGATGCCGGAGACCTCAGGAACGTGTGGCAGGGCCAGCAGCAGTGGGGGCCCCTCTGCCAGCTTGGTGGCACTGGGACAGGACCAGTGTCAGGCTAGGGCTGCTGGGCTAGCTGGCTCAGAGGCCTGACGTGGGGTCTCTGGATCCTTATCTGTAAAGGAGGGACAGGTCACTCCGTGCTGTCAGCACTGCACAGGCTTTGCGCTTCACGATGAGCTCAGCCTGATGCTCCAGGACAAGGCATGGCTCCTGAGCATCTTTGAGGCACATGGCCAGGACATCAGTTCCCAGCTCACGGTGCCTGATCCCAAGCCTCCATGGGGACAACAACCTCTGGACAGACCTGGGCTGAGGAGTCAATGGCCTGGAGCTGTGGTTTCCAGTGCCTTTCCAGGGAGTGGGAGGAGATGGGCTCTGCTTGCTCTCCTGCCATCATCAGAGCTGGAGCAGGGAAGATGAGCAGGGCTTGAAGAAGATTGGAGTGAAGCAGAGCCTGGGTGAGGGTGGGTTGCAGGTTTGTACTCACAGGAGAAGGGTCGTGGTCTCCAGAAGTTCTCCTTGGCCCTGGGAAGAGTGGAGCAGAAAGGGGACATGTCAGGTGGGGCTGGGAGAGGCCCTGCCTGGTCTTGGTGCCCAGGTTGGGGGGCAGAGGGGAGTAGTGACTGAGTGTGGGGGTGAGAGGGGGCTATGCCAGAAGAAAAAGTCCCAGCTGTTGTGCACCTACAATTTCTCGCATTGTCACAAGTGCAGGTGAACGGAGGCACTTCACAGAAATCCCTCACTCCAGGGCCAGGCACAGCAGCAGGAGCAGGACACAGCATGAATGCCACACTGGGACCAATGACTGGGGTGGTGGGAAGGAGATGCTGGAGCTTCCACCCCAGCCTTGCACCTTGTCAGCCATCTGTTAACTCCCTGCTCTGCAGGAGAGCAAGGTTCAATCCTGTGACTGCCTTTTTCTTGCTCCAGACCAACATGAATTCCAGTGGAAATAATTTGGGTGGTATTCAAATTAAAATTAAGTAGAAAGCCTGTCTGTATACTAGCACTGGGTGGGATGAGAAAGAAATGCAAATATTCCCTGACATGTGGGAAAAAGGGAAGCTAATGTTCAACCCACTGATGTTATCACACCCCTGAGGAGCAGATGACTAAGGGGCTACAAGATGTTAAAATATCACCCATCTCACCCCCTTCCCCAGGGCAGGGTCTCCCTGCCTGGGCCAGATTGGTGCCACCGGTGGTGGAACTTCCAGAGATGGATTTTCCACCAGTTTTTTCTCCTGGTACTCAGCCTCCTTCCCTGCTGCACCCACAGCACCCACCCATGCACAGGTCCAGCCCATGGCTCACCCCCGGTGCTGGTGGCGGTGCCGGCGGCAGAGGCTCAGAGCCAGGCAGGTGACAGCGAGCAGGAGGCAGAGCAGAGCCAGGGCTCCCAGCAAGATGCCGAGGAAGGCAGCAAGGCTGATGGCCAGGCGCTCACACCGGGCGCCACCGGGAGAGAAGATGGAGAAGGGGAGGCAGCTGTGGATGGGGAAGGAGGAGAAGTGATGCCGTGGGGAGAAGGGGCTGTGGTGGGTGGCCTCGCCTGCCCCCGGACCTGCTACTACCTGCATGTGGGCCCCTCAGGCAGGTGCTGGCACCATCCGCCATGGTGGCAGTAGCCCGTCTTGCAAGGCGAGATGCAGACAAAGCCGACGGTCCCCACGTAGTCCAGCTGGTAGCCTTTGTAGCCATACAGACCGCAGGAGAAATAGAGCCTCAGCTCAGCCACTGTCACTGGGAAGGGAGTACACAGGTTTGGCCACACACAGCGTCACCCTTTGATATTTCCCAAGGTCTCCCTGAGCTGGATCCATGCCTAGGGTGGGCACTGCCGCCCACCCACCTCCCCCACGGGCATTACCCAAACCCCAGGGCATGGAGGATGATGAGGACGATGGGGACAGTGGGATACTCCTCCTTGGCTCCCCCAGTTGCCAGGAGCAACTCACGCTTCACCAGGTCAGTGATGCTGTCTTGGTGCAGGGGCTGGAAGAGGAGGCGCATGCCCGCCTCCCGCCGCCCCCTCGTCCCTTTAAAGGCGCTGATGATGGCCCCCTGCAGTTCCTCATTGAGAAAGCGGATGACAGTGCTGTGGCTGTCGTAGGCAAAGGTGGACACCATTGCAAAGGTGAAGCCATCGTCATCTGTCCTGTGGGGAAAAGATAGGGTTGCTGGCAGAGCCACTGCTGCATCACAGAGTGACCAAGCCTGACTGTGCCTCAGTTTCCCCATTTGGGTGGCAGTAAAGAAGGGATGAGGCAGAAGATGGAAGGTGCCATAGGGCTTGTATCTCCAAGGGCTTATCAGCAACAGTGCTGGAAATCCAGACTCTGGAGTAGGGGAAAATGTGCTTTGTGCTCCAAATCGTGTGGCCCCATGCCCAGCCCTGCCCCATTGGCTCCCTGGGGTGGGCATGGGGCCACTCCACAGTCGACTTACATCTGGGTGATGTTGATGTTGCTCTGGAAAGCTTTAATCTTCAGGGAGCCCAGGATGCCTGAGACCTGCAGTGGGGGGAGCAGGAGGACGTTAGGGGAGGGCAGGACAGTGCAGGGAGAGGCTGAAGGGCATTGCGGACACCGTGGCCAAGCCCCAGGGGCTGCTCTGGCCTTTCATTCGCTCGATGGGGACCTGGCACATGGCCACTGCCACAGGTGGCATCACGCGGCTGGCACTGCTTCCCTCCAGCCTCACAGGTCTGCTGGATCCCTGGGGATCATGGAGGCACAGGCACCCCAAGCTGCCATGGTGCTCAGTGTGCCAGTGCATCCCCCTCCCTGAGCTCATCCCCTCCGGTGACGTACGGTGTCGTTGACTTCACCCACAGTGGTGTTCTGCAGAGTCCTGACCTGCAGCCGGACACTTCTCCGTGGGAGATCTGCTTGGAGGGAAGTCGCAGCCATGGCTCCGGCATCCCAGGACCAGGGTGAGAGGGTTTGGGGTTCCCCTCACACCAGGCACAGGCACTCACCTGAGTTGGGTAGTGGTCGAAAATCCCCCCCCGCCACCAGGCATCGCTGGTCGGTGAAAGCCGAGGGACAGGTACAGGCAGGGGTGCAAGTGATGGAGTGCAGGTGGCAGAGCCCCCCATTGCTGCAGTAGCCCTCAGGGCAGGAGCGGGAGCCACAGGCTGAGCTACATCCCTGGCCTGTGGAATGGGGAGCACAGGTCAGGTGGTGGCACGAGTCTGGCTGTGGGAGCAGAGTCCCAGTGCACTGATCCATCCTCAGTCGCTCTATAATGCTTTTCTTCCAAGTTTTGGGATGGTTTTTTATGTGTTAGGACTTATAGTATAAGCTCAGATCCTCAGGGAAAAGCCTGCACCCTCTCCTGCCAGCTGGAGCCTTTTGCCCTTGTGAAATCCCAGCCTGCTGTATTAGAACAGGAGCAAAACCCATCACCCCAACCCCACCGCAGCCATCTGAAAACAAAGTTTGATTTTAGCTCCCCCAATCTCTACATGAGCATTTGAACTTTGGTGGGATGAGATTTTTATTTTTTTTTCCTCAAAGAGAAAAATGTCATGGGAAAAATTTCCCTTCTGGGCAGATTAGAGAGATGAGGGGTGGCTGGTCTCTGGTCCCTTCTGCTAAGGACAGCAAGGTCTTGGGTACAGAGCTGAGCCAGCTCCCCCTCCTCTCCTCTTTGGCCAGTTTGCATCTTTCACTGAAGCCTGGGGTGTGATGGGGACCATTCCTGCCAGGGTGCCCATACTCACCCTCCTCACCGGTGGGGCAGGAGCAGACGTAGCTGCCCACCGTGTTGGTGCAGGTGGCATTCCTTGGGCACACCGTCCCCTGCGCGCACTCATCAATATCTGCTGAGGCAAAGCAGTTTGGCACTGGGAGAAATACCCGTGAGTGTCCCCGTTCCAGGTGGCCATGGCCAGTCATCATCACCTGAGCAGGGCCGCCCGTCGCCGGTCAGGCCAGCCGGGCAGGGGCCGCAGCCGGTGTGCAAGTCGAAGCCCACGCCGGGGACACATCCCTGGGTGCAGCGGTCCGGAGGGTCCTCACAGAAGGGACCCGAGTAACCACCCTCACACTTGCAAGCTGCCAGCTGGGAAGGGGACAGTGACACCGGCTTAGAGGACACCAGGAGGATGGGTGGATGGCTGGCACGGCCACTGGAGGAGGTTTCTGGCACCCTACCTGCAGGAAGGACTCCTCAACTGTGACGGTGTCGTTGTAGTCGCACTCTTGGCTCCTGCTGCAGCTGCAAAGGGTGAAGTGCAGCTGGAGAAGGGAGGAGAGGTTGTTGGACCCGACAGCCTCCAGGGGGATGGTGAGTGGGGCTGTCCCACGGGGCTCCCATGTCAGGGTGCCGCTCTCTGCCGGGGGGAGATGTGGGAGTTAGAGGAGGTGGCAAAGGGTCTGGGTGGCTAGTGTCTCCACAGCACAGCTGTCCCATCTCTCCTTCCTTACCTGATATGTTGAGCTCTGGTGAGAGATGGGGGACAAAGCGTGTGCCCATCCCCACAGCACGGTACTGCTTGCTGACCCTTTCTGTCCTGAAGGCTGTGAGAAATGCATCACCGATGATGGTGGGAGGGAAGGCGTCTGAGGAAAGAGCAGCCCAACACAGAGCTGATTGTTTGCTACATGGCCTTGGCACCCCCAAGGTGAGGATGGGACCCTAGAGAGATGCCATGGCTGCCCACTGACACATGCATCTTGCACAGCATGGTGACATCTCCCAGGCTTCAAGACCGGCCACCCAGGTAATGCAATTCAGAGACCTTGGTGACTTGTCTCCCGCCTCATATGGGGCAAGAGAGTCCATGGAGGGTGCAGGGCACTGCCCAGTTCCTCATGCTGTGCTTTTTTGAGGGGTGAGAACCTGCTCTACTTACTGAGTACTGTCTTCTTCTGCTGGAAGCTGGCTGCAAGGGTCTGGGTGGCCAGGCCCAAGGCCATGTCCCCTGTGCTCAATGAATCATAGATGCACTCCTTGCTGCCATAGCACTGCGAGGCTGCCAGCTGGTACCGGCTTTCATTCTCCTGCCGCAGCCGAGACAAGAAGACGGGTCTAAAGTTTGTTACTGGTGAGTCCAGAGGCTGAGCAAACAGACTGTGCTCTCCAACAGCCCCTGCAAGAGAGCACGTCATGGGTACAGCCTTGGGCTTTTAAGGTTTGTTATATTTTAGGGCTCATTTCTGTGGAGCAGTGAGGAGACCAAAGGGCTTCCCTGGCGCTACTTTTTCTCAGGCAAGTGTCTAAAAGTTTCCAGACAAAGCATGGCCAGAAGCTGCAAGTACAGGGGAATTATCAAGGTGGATTTAAAACCTGGACTTACAGGTCATCCCGTAGCTGTAGATCTCCTCCTCGCTGCTATTCACAGGGATGCTGGTACCGTTTGGCATCTGAAAGTCATCTGTGGGGTCGTGGTCCCACACACCTGGTGGAGCATCGCCAAAGGGCTGAAGTCCCCCATGCTGGGGTTGAACTCCTCTCTGGTGCTGGCTGGCACTTAGTTTAGACCCAGGGGTCCCCGCCCTCACAAGCACATTCCTCCAGTGGCTTCCAGCCTGCTTTAGGATGGGAAGGGGACTTTGCACCCCAGCTCCAGCAGTGCCAGAAGTCCTTACCCAGGAGGCCGTTGGTGCTGTTGCGGTACTGATCAGGCAGGCTGCAGACCACGCTGAGGATCCCAGAGGTGGCTGAGATGGAGATGGCAATGGCCCCATCAAAGATGGCTGTGACAGAGGAGTCATTGACCAGCAGGACGCCAGGGCTGTAGTACACCTCAGCACCCATGTCTGCAAGAGAGAGTCCACACAAGGCTGGGGTCTGAAATGATGCCCCTGAATTTGGGGAGGGGAGTGTTCCCCATCCACCCCAGCTGAGTCAGAGACAGGGTGCAGGTGGGAGACGTTTAATGAAGCTCTGGAAGGCTGCTGTCACCCTGGGCAGGGCTGGTCCCCATGGGGTGGGAACATCCCTCATCCCCCTCCAATACATCTAACAGCACATTCTGCTCACCTTGGGAATAGGAAAATGGGATATTTTTGTCATTCAGGAGGACTTGGATATCACCCTGGCTCCCCAAGGTCCACTCAACCTGCAAATCAGACCAGATGTCCCAATCAGCCCCTCTGCTCAACCTTCCTGTCCCCCTCCATGCTGGGGACATGAGCCAAACCCCATCTTCTTACAGCCCCAGGGGCCATGTTCATGTGTCCTTCACCCCAGCAAACACATGATAAGGCTTTGATGCTTGCTCAGAAGAGCACAGCAAGCTGCTCCCCATCACTGCTGGCCTGGGGCATGCACAGGCCACCACTGCTGCTCAGCTGACCATGGCAGCAAGGAGAGCTGGGCTGGTGGGCTCCAGGCTGAGCCCCCTCATGCTGCTCAGCGTGATTTTACTTATTGAAAGGGGAGCAATTCTGCAAAGCAAAGAGTATATGCTTGTGCTAATATATCCAGAGGGGACTGGTGGTTGGGACAAAGGCTGTGCAGTGAAAAGGGTGTTCCTGCAGAGCTCCAAGCCCTTGCTGGTCAGCTTTCAAGAGATATTAGACCTGAGTCTCATTAGTCTTAGTCCAAACCACTAGTATTAGCACTTCGTTTGGGTCGTGGGAGGTGCCAGAAAGAGGAGAGAGGATGTTCCTTGGGTCCCAGCCACTTGCAGGTGATACCCAACCTGTCAGATAGTCTCTCCCATTAGAAGCTCAGACTTACACCCAGGTTATTCCTACTCACTGTTGTAGTGGTGGTGGAGACATACTGGGCAGCGAAGGCCACAAAGTTGGTGGCCTGGGCTGTGCCAGTCTGGGCTGTGCGCCCATGCAGCACGAAGCTGGCCTGCATGTCTCTGGCCAGGAGCAGGACAAAGTCCCCAAGTCCATTGAAGGTGTAGGTGAGTCCATCCAGGGTGGTGATGTGGGGGTCCCCAAAAGCGCCAGCTGGAGTCCAAAGGAGATGGAGTTGTTTTAGGGGGAGGAAAAAAAAGCAAACTGGTGTCATGACATGTAGGAGAGCAGCCTCAAGTGCTGTGCTGGGGTCAGCAGTCCCCACCAGGCTGCTGCAAAATGTGTAGGTCCGCATCCAGCAGCGTCACCCACTCAGCACCCTGGCACAAAGCAGGTAGCGCCCTGAGGACTCACCAGGGGTGGGTGGCACATATCCCTCGCAGCCAACCCTTGGTCTCTTCTCAGCAAACCTGGTGCAGAACAGGGGCTTCCCCACACGCCGGCAGCACCAGTCGAAGGCCTCCAGCTCCCCATCTGCGGAGGGAGGCTCACGGGTGCTGGGGGACGTCGGGGTCCCCACCGCACCTGCAGAGCACTCGGTGCTCAGGGAGTTTTAGGATGAGGGAGTGTAGGTGCCAACTTACCAGAGGTGGGGTGTATGGGGAGGGTCCATACTCTCTCCTGCCAGCCTTCGAGCAAGCTCCCACCTCGGTACAGACACCGCACCCCAGCTCCAGCTGGGCTGGGAGATGCAGTGCGCAGCATCCTCACAGAGCTGTCTACCGAGCCTGAAATGGTATAGGGGGATCACAGCTGCCCCCAGGACAGGTGGACACCGACTGCCATCCCTCCACCCCACGGCTGGCCCTGTGGAGCTGCATTTGGCACCTCTGCTCCAGCGGTAGCGGGGGGCCAGCTCTGCCTGGGGCCGAGAGCAGGGGCACGGTAGCAGCTGGAGGTTCCAGGCAGCCGGGGCGGGCTCTGCATCCAACCACATCAGGCACCGCAGCCTAAAGTTCACCTGGGAGCGACTGTCGAGCCGGTATAGCCACAGCCCACGCACATCTTGGGGAGCAACCAGAGAACAGCCAGGGTGTTACCTTGTGCTGAAGAGGGTCCTGTGGTAAAACCGTCCCTGGCCATTGACCTCACACGAGGTCTCCAGGCTCCCTCTAGAGCCGGTGTGGCCACGGCAAGACACAGCAGGACACCTGTGCTTTACTCTTGGCAGCTGGCCCTTGCCCGGTGGTTTTGCTGGCCCGTGATCAGGGGTTTTGCTGGCCCGTGATCAGGGGTTTTGCTGGCCCATCACTTCACATGGGTACATTCTGGGGAGATGCTCCTGGCACGGAGCACACATCGTCCTCCATCCCTACCCTCCCTGAGGGCTCCTCTTGTGTCCTACCAGTGCCAGTGCTGCTGTGCTGGTCAGGTCGGTACTTGACATCTGGTGGCTCTTGAGACAACTCATTATTTTGGGCATAGCCATCCCCGCTGCAGAGAGACAAGGTTTGGGGTCACCCTTCCAGCACAACCCTGTAGAGCAGTTGTGGTGGGAACTGTTGTGGTTTGCTGGAGAGAGGATTTAAACGGGACGTGGTTACTAAGGGAGTGGGACCTGGGCTCTCCCGGGGATAATGTCTCCAACAATCCCAACATAGTGCTGGGAGAAGTCCCCACCATCCCCGAAATGCCGCCACACGCATGCACAGCACCTGGAGAAGCCGATCAGCACATTGTCTGCAGCCAGCTTGGTGTAGTCCCATCGCATCCCACCATCCTGGTAGAGCAGCAGGGCAAAGGAATGGTTCCCATCAGTGGTGAGGACCGCCTGGTAGGTGCTTGTCTGGAGAAACCCAAGGAATCCCCTTAGGGGCCCCAAAGCCTCCTCTGCTCTCCCTGCAGGGCAGCCTGACGTGGTGAGGCCTGAAATGCCCACATCAAGCTGTGGGAAACCAGCAACCCAGCCCTGCCCTGGTGACAGTCCCCTCTCTCACCTGGGTCCCTCAGTGCTCACCTGAGTGTCATCGTGTCGGGATGGGTACGCTGGAGCCTTCTCCCATGTCACCTTCAGGGTCCACTTAGCTACATAGGAAGTCTTTAGGTATTTCTCAATCTTTGCTTCCACGTCGTGGACAAGGGGGTCTTGAGTAGGGTTAAGGGTGGAGTACTCCTGCCAGATGTTAAGAAAGAGGGTTAAATGGGTGAACTAGGAGCTGGGCTCTCCCAGGAGAACATCTTTGGTGGCCCTGACCTGGTACCAGGTGATGCCGACACCCTGGGAGAAATCTGCGTCGTCCCAAAAGGCAGCCACCATCGGCAAACTCTCCTGACCACTAAAGCCCTGGGGAGGTGGGTTGGGGTTGGAGGGGATGTAGTTGTCCGTTGGTGGGAAAATGATCTGTCCATTATCTGTAAACTAATCAAAAGAACTCATTATTTCCTGATATCCCAGGCAGCTCCTTTGATGGCTTTTAGCCTCTGTGAGTGAGCAGAAACCAGCCATTTTAAATTGGAAAAAAATTAACATTCCAATGAAATTCAGTTTCTGCTTCATTTCCATGTTTGGTTCTGGGTTTGTTTTGTTTTGTTGGGTTTTTTTTTGCTGAAGAGGGTGCAAATCCCTTATGCACTCAGCGAGGGGGGAACTTACATAGAGAGTGTCCCGCAGCGACTTCCCGAAGGGGAACCCGATCTCTGGCTTGAACAAAGGGGAGTTAAAATCCACCGTTCTCTGGACATACTCTTGGTCCCCTTGCTCGATGCCAAAGGGGTAGAGTGAGGCCGCTGGCACTGATGTGGGTGGGAGATTAAATGAAAACATAAAAAACCATTAATGTCTGCTCCATCCTTCCTGCAGCCAGGTCAAACTCGCCTGGTTGCCGCCAGGGTGCTGTGCCTGCACTCCCCTCAGCAGGACCGGCACTCTGATGGCTTGTAACCCAATTTTTAACCCAGTTTTTATATTGGAATTAGATGCACTCAGATGTCCTATTTTACCTTTCCCCATGAATCTGGAAGCCCAACGTGCAATGCAGACAAGCCACCCTGGGCTGGGCCTTGCCCTCAGCCATCATGGTGCTTGACTGGCTGACACCTTCCCGCTCTTTGCTTTGGGAAGAAGAAAATCTACTTACTGATAATCCCATGGGTGGGTCGGGGCTCAGGGGCAGGATTTTTGTAGGCAGTGGTGATATGGATGAATGTGCTTGCTGCTGTGGCCAGTCCCTTCTGTGTCCCAAAAGCAGGAGCTGGGGTGGTGACAGGGTTGGCTGTGGCTAGTGGTATCCCCTGTGTCGTGATGCCTGCGGCTGGGAGATGTCCCACTTCCTTGGCTGGGCTCACCGGGGCTGTGGGTGCAACAGCCACAGTGTTGCCCACAGCGAAGGCCGTGGTGTTCACCGTAGTAATAGCCGTGGTGCTGCCTGAAGCAATGGTCATGGTGTTGCCTGCAGCGATGGTTGTTGTGTTCCCAGCAGTGATGGTTGTTGTGTTCCCTGCAGTGATGGTTGTTGTGTTCCCTGCAGTGATGGTTGTGGTGTTCCTTGCAGTGATGTCTGTGATGTTCCCAGCAGTGATGGTCGACGTGTTGCTAGCAGCGATGGCTGTAGTGCTGCCTGCAGCAATGGTCATGGTGTTTGCAGCAGTGGTGGTTGTGGTCTTTCCAGCAGTGATGGCTGTGCTGTTGCCTGTAGTGATGACGGTCAGTGTGTTCCTAGCAGCAGTGGTTGTGCTGTTCCCTGCAGCGATGTCGGTGATGTTGTCTGCAGTGATGGTCGTTGTGTTCCTAGCAGCGATGATTGTGCTGTTCCCAGCAGTGATGACTGTGATGTTGCCTGCAGTGATTTCCGTGGTGTTCCCAGCAGTGATGGCCATGGTGTTGCCTGCAGCAATGGCTGTGGTGTTCCCAGCAGTGATGGCTGTGAAGTTGCCTGCAGCAATGGTGGTTGTGCTCTCAGCAGTGATGGTCGATGTGTTCCTAGCACTGATGGCCGTGGTGTTGCCTGTAGCGATGGTTGTTGTGATCCCAGCAGCGATGGTTGTGGTGTTGCCTGCAGCAATGGCTGTGGTGGTCCCTGCAGTGATGGTTGTGCTGTTCCTACCAGTGATGGCTGTGGTGTTGCCTACAGTGATGGCCATGGTGTTCCTGGCAGCGAGGGTTGTGGTCTTCCCAGCAGTGATGGCCATGCTGTTGCCTGTAGTGGTGGTGGTCAGTGTGTTCCTAGCAGTGATAGTCGTGGTGTTCTCTGAAGTGACAGTCGTGGTGTTCCCAGCAGTGATGGCCGTGCTGTTACCTGTAGTCATGGTGGTCTGTGTGTTCCTAGCAGTGATAGTTGTGGTGTTCCCTGAAATGATGGTCGTGATGTTCCCAGCAGTGATGACTGTGATGTTGCCTGCAGTGATTTCCGTGGTGTTTGCAGCAGTGATGGCCGTGGTGTTGCCTGCAGCAATGTTTGTGGTGTTCCCAGCAGCGATGGCCATGGTGTTGCCTGCAGTGATGGTTGTTGTGTTCCCAGCAGTGATCGTTGTGGTGCTGCCTGTGGTGATGACTGTTTTTTCCCCCCAGACAGGTGCCCCTAGAGATGTCCAGAAGCCTGGAGGTGACATGCTTGCTGCCTGTCCCGTGGCGGGGCTGCTGGTGACCGTGGGAGAAGTGGCTCTTGTTGACAGTTCTGTTGGCGTCTGTCCAGCTGCTGGCTCTCTGGTTGCACCAACACCAAGCAGAAATGATGGGGCTTCTGCTGACTCCTCTGCTGGGCTGGAGAGGGTTGGACCAGGCACCTCGATGGCAGAGCTGGGAGTTGCCTCCACTGAGGGTGTACGTGTTGCAAGGGACAGGGTAGATTGCCCATCTCCGCCTGCCTCGTCACGCGTTACAGTGAGGGACAGGGCAGTGCTGGTGCTGGTGGTCTTCAGCATGGCAGACAGCATGGCTGTGGTGGCCCTGGTCACCATGAAGGTCTCACTGCTGGCTAGGGTGGGTGGCACAATGGTGCTTCTGGGGAACATGCTGGTGGCTGGTGTGGTGGCCGGACTGGTGCCAGTGTTGTTGGAGATGGGCACATGGATGCTGTTGGTGCCGGCTGAGGGTGCTGCACCCTTGACACCACTCTCAGAGAGGGTGGTGTCCACACAGGTGGTCGTACCCTCAGCACTTGACCAGGATGCAGTTGTAGTTTCCCACGTGTGTGTGCGGTCAAGAGCCAGTGAGGAGACGCCGGCTGTGGTCTCGTTGTCAGCAGCTGGGCTGAGAGCCCTGAAGGCTGTGTTGTGAGTGCTATCAGTAGTCTCAGGATATGGGTTTGAGGCTGTACGGGGGCTGTGTGGAGCAGAGGCACTGCTGAGAACAGCAGAGTAGGGTGTTGTGACCCCGTGGAAACTTGTATCTCCTGCTGCTGGTCCGGTGATGGTGATGGTGGAAGTGACAGAGGGTGCCACCGGACGGGTCTTCCTGGGGACACTGGCATCCGGCTCAGCAGTGCTGTGAGCAAGGCCAGGAGAAGATGCTATAAGAGGCTCTGCAACTGTGGGTGACACCATGCCTGTGAGGGCCACTGCCATGGGGCTTTTGCTGCCTGGGGATGAGCGTGATAATGGGCTGGCATCACCGGTGCCTGGTTCAGCCATTGCAACCCCAGGAGTGGGCGAGCCCAAGGGCAGCCCTGCAGACCTGCTTCCCATGGTGGGCG